GTGACTGGATGGAAAGCTAAAATGAAATGAGAGCTTGGATTCTCAGAAGGTTTCTTTCAGAGAGAGGAACTCGTTCTGGGTGAATGCTTGTTTTGCAGCTAACTCGGTTGTTACTTAGAGAGAACAGCGTCAAACACAATCTGTCGGTCGAAAGTATCTACCTCACCCAGTTTCAGGAGACCCCCTTCTGGATTCGAGATGTCAGGTGGAGATGATTTCCTCCGGGCACGAGGCTGGTAGAAGGACCTCAATGTGACCAAATCAGTCCTGGGATGTCTCTGTGGGTCACACGACTGATGAAACTATTTGAGTCTCAAAATCAATAACTCTGATGGAGTTTTGCGTCAGCTGGTTACAGGTGCATTTATTCAAAGCTATTCTATCGGCGTGACAGATCAGCAGGTAGAGGCTTCAGGGCAGCCGACCCTTATCCTCAGGATGGTGGTTGGTTCACGAACTGAAGTTACAGCTGCGGAAGATTTAGTTTTAACAAAGCCTCAGAACACGCCCTCTCAGAGCAAGAAAGCTTTGGTCATGAGTCAAAGACATGTGATGGCAGTTTACTTTCACCCTGGATACCCTCTGTGTTGGATGGATAAAATGGAGGATGACCTTTTGGTTTACTGAACACACATAACCGATTATCACAAAAATCATACCTAAAGCATAATAATTCATTTCAGTAATTAAAATACATTTACTGAACCAAGTGATTATTTATGATGATTATAATAAACAGTAATAAAGTCAAAGAGTTTATTAAAATTATTATTTTAAATTATTATTGTGATCTTGAAGTGTCCTTCAATCTGAGACGGAACAGCAGCAGATAAAGATGATATTCAGCAGACATCACAGCTCCTTGCTTGTTTAATTTGCGGGGCAAAGTTACAGTCGACCCAACTGACCCAGCTGGGAAAATGTGACCTTTGTCACAAATTAGAGGCCCTTCGTGACGCTACACCTTTAACTTCTTTTGGCATTCTTTAACCTGGAGAATTACTTAAAGCAGTCACAAAATATAAAGCTATTACCAAATGACTTAGCTTCTTGATATCTTTTACCATTTTTCTAAAATCACAGCTTAAGTTTTAGGTTTGACTTTGGATCTTTCAGAAAATGACACAACCATTAAAATAGTACCAGCTTGGCGGCCTAGTGGTAGAGTGTCCACCCTGGGACTGGGAAATTAGGGTTCAAATCCTGAATGGGTCATACCAAAGACTTGGGGGAAAAAATGGGACCCAATGCCTCCCTGCTTGACTCTCAGCTTTTAGGGGTTGGACTGGGGGGTTAAACTACCAAATAGTGCGGCCGTGTCAGCAGCTCACCGCTGCCCATGGGGATGGGTCAAATGTGGAGGACAATTTTCACCACACACCAGTGTGTGTTACAACTATGGCAAAGTAAGGGAGAGATGACCCAACTTTGCTCCATTTCAGTCCATGTCCTGGGAGAACTTAGATCCTATTGAAATGAGAAGCACACTGGCTAAAAGCTGATAGATATACCTGAGTTTTGAGCTATAATTCATAATGTACTCAAAAACTTGTGGTAGTAGCATTCATTTGTGAGAGACTGTTCGAACCTAAAAAAGTTACTCCCCACCCTAAGGCCATGTGACCTTGAGCGGAGCTGAACATTCTTTACAGACCAAAAATCTGTCCACCAGTTCATCACAGCAACACATGACAAGCGACAAGTGGGTGTTAGCTGTATTGCTCATTTCACAAATGCTCAATCCTTACAAGCTGTTAAGGTCACTAATTAATATGCTCTTAAATAATAAAAATACCACACCAGTTGCTATTACTAATGAGGAGAAATGATAGACTAAAATGTAATTTCTAGACTTTTTGAGGAATTTTTATTTGTTTCCACTAATTAGACAGAAAATCACATTTAATAAAAATTAATAAGCAAAATTTGAGCTTGTGGCCTACTCCTTTCCTTTAAATTATTAATTTTATTTTTCCCTTTCCTCACATTTTTAATTACAATTTTTACCTTTCCCCGTTTTTATACTTTTAATCATTTTAATCCATTTTATTTTTTATTAAAAATGTTTTGTTCTTGTGAATCGCCTTATGATTTTATCTTGACAGGCGCTATATAAAATATTGTTTCTTCTAAACAAAATGTATTTAAAATTCATTGTGTTAGAAAATTTATATTTATTTTAAATCATCTATATAGCTTTTATGTTATCAGAAATGTCGAGAGGAGCCAGTTGAGGTGGCTTGGGCATCTGATTAGGATGCCTCCTGGACACCTCCCTGGTTTTCCAGGCACGTCCAACTGGGAGTAGACATAAAGGGAGACTCATGACATGCTGGAGGGACTATGTCTCTCAGCTGGCCAGGAAACACCTTGGGATTCCCCCGGAGGAGCTGGCCCAAGTATGCTAATGACAATAAATGTAAAATAATATAATTATGATAGGATAGCGATACCAGAAGAATGGCTTCTACAACGAACTGCCCACTTTTGTCATTACTCTTACATACCACTGGCTTTTGTTACATTTTCATCTGTTTATCTGGATCAGAAGGTAGCAGCCCCAGCAGAGAAGCCCAAACTGTCCTCTCCTTAGCAATTTCCACCAGTGGGCTCAGCACTCTGAGTCTATAGACCAGTGAACCTCAACTGGCGGCCTGCGGGCCACACATTTCCACCAGGCTCCCCAACCCTTTGGGCTCTAACACCCCCCAATTGGGGGACTTTGAAGTTTAACAGCAAAATTCATGTCCCAAATATCAATAACTGTTTACATTCTCCAAACACATTAAAACTACAATTAAAACAGTTTAGATTGAAAACAAAACCATTGTAAATATTAATAAATTAATATACAATAATACTTGAACTTTAAGGGCATCTGGCCCTCACGGTGTCTGCTGGAAAAAACTCTGGCTCTTGAACAGATTTGGTTGAGGACCCCTGCAATAACTGATAATGAATGAAAGATAAATAACCTTCACTTGTAGAGTGCCTTTCAGTGTCAGAGGACTCCAAAGTGCTTTACACTACAGTGCATCATTCTCACAGTGATGTTTGCAACCTTATGATTACTGGAACAACTGCTCAACCTGTTGAGCTACTGCTGCCCCTAAGACCTCATGTCAAACTTTCCACATCACCCGATGATAGTGAGCTATCGGTGGCTCGTTCAACATGGTCTGGTCATAGACCGGATGTGTGACTGTGTACAGGTTCCTTCAGGTCTTCCTCAGACTGCTTCCATTACCTCTACTGCCCCCAACCACCTTAAACTGACCTTGGTTCCTGCTTGCTACTATGACCTTCAGGGGGTATTCAAAAAGGCACAGGGCACTACTCTATCTCTGCATTGACCAAATGACTGTACCATTGACCTGTTGCCTGGAACTGTGCTGCCCAAGGGATGTCTCTATTTGATGTCAGCTCCTGAACTCCAGGTCATAAAAGACAATGTGAACTCTGCCCTTAAGGCTGGCCTCTTCCCGTTCCTCATCATTTCCTGCTACGGGCCTCTGTTAGTTTGTCATCTGGGGACCATCCCCAAGCTGACAGACAGTCTGAACGGGTTATACAGGAGTTGGAGAAAGGCTTGTACATTCTTGCATCTGGATATCCGTCCTTCTGGACTAGACAGCTATTTTGGGTGGAGTTTGCCCACAACAGCCTGCCTTTCTGTTCACTGGTTTTTCCCCTTTTCATTGCATTCATGGAAACAAGCCACCCCCGTTCCCGTCTCTCCTACTGTTCCATGGCCAAGTTGAAAACCTACTGATCACTGAAAATCTGTTAATTATCTGCAAAGATGGACTATACATCTCATGTCACATGAGCAATATAACAGTTTCCCTAACCCTACATGTGGATTTGGGTCAATTGTATCATTAATGTCTATATAACAAATGATGAAGGTCCAACTAGAATGACAACTGTTGCCTGCTGCTGCACAGAAGGTTTAATCAGAAACTCAGCAATTGTTCTGGTAGACAGAGGCTGGGAAGCTATCACGTATTTGTATGCATTTGCATTCAACTTCAGCATTTTGGCCTGGGTGAAGGTGAAAACTCACTGAACCGGTTCCTTAGACTTTTAAGACCTAACTTAACTCTTTCTTGGCTGTAAGAACCTTGTTTTAGTGTTTTACATTCAATGGAACACAATTAGACTGGGTAAAATCCATCTTATTTGTGTCTACTTCTGTCCTGGCCCTCTTCTGCCAGCACATTACAGTTAATACTATCTGATCTGGCCTTAAATAGGTTACAAGCTCGAAATATTTGCCCAAGGGAAACCGTGTGACAAGGCAAAAATAGCTTCACTCTACCCCTTGGAAACCAACCAGAATGCAGAAATAGCTATTTCTAGTAGGTTAGGAATACTGTAGCCATATCTGCTGCTCCAGTTTACGATGCCCTCTGCTTTTCAAGTTAGTAGCTAATATACAGCATTTGAGACTGAAGAAATAAGTGTCAGAATCACACTTCTACATGCTGAGCTCAACTGTTTTCTTAAGTAAAACCTTTGGCTGCTCATGAATGTTCCCTTGTCACACCACGTGTGACATTGCTGGTTCTAACAAATCTTCAGTTGTTGTTTTTAATCATATTAAACTTATTCTAGCATAGTAAAACGCGTTAGAACCGTAGGTATTAGAAACACGGACGTTTCTCTTCCCTATGTGTACCGCAATGAATGACAAAAGACAGCTATTTTCAACCACTTGAAAAGAAAACGACAACTCCCAGATTTCCTTGCGTTTGGTTGCCACGGTAACGTTTGACGTCAGCTCCTCTTCGCTCCGACGCTGCTCCGGCCGTTCTCTTGGACCGGTGTGATTGGGAGGAAACCCCGTTGACTGTGTTCATTCGGACAGGCTGAGAGAATCAGCTGTAGTTTGGTACGCAGACATCCGGCAGGACTCAGGTATGAACTAGTTTAGCGCATCACAGTTACACTTTTGAGCGGCTATAATTTATTCTCGTGTCGTTTAAATTTACTGTGAAATTCGCGTGTCTCGAGTACAGTTGGCTGCTGCCGTGTTACGTGTGGCGGCGGCGCTCACCCAACTAAAGAACAATGGCCAGCTTAGCTAGCGTTACAGTTCGGGATGTGTCTAATGGCTGGTTTCTTACGGGAAGGCGTGTCAGTGTCGTGTAGACCGAAGCCTTTTTGCCACTGCTGCTAACAACTGCTGAAGCTGTTTTATGAGGTAATGTTTGATTCTTAGTGTGTGTAATCGATAATACGGTTGTGATTAAAACGTATTGTTCCGATGAATGAAGAACTTCCGTTAAAATGTTTGTCGGCTATGTTACAAAATGATCCGGTTTACGTGTTTTCTTAGTATGTACGTTAGCATTTGTGACATGGTGTTCCACGAATTTAAATTGTTTTGGTCACCCATTCAGATTTACGTGGTATTAAAAAACTAGATGGTCGGCGCAGAGGCGCGACTAGCCGTGTATTCTTTATAAAATCAGCTGCAACTTGTGTTTAAACACGTCTTCGTATAAGAATGCTTTAGTCCGAGGTCCGGTAATAAATGGTTACGTCGCAAAAATCTGCACGATTAGCAGAGTATCTGTTTCAGGAAATAGTTGGCGCCAGATTATTCTGGAAACTGGTCACGAGGGCCTTGATATGGTAGTTGCTATTTACTGACTGGATTGTGTCGCTGTTCAGATGATGGTATTTTGAGTTTACGAGTGAAGCTTTTGCTTTATTATGTGCCAGGAAGTGAAGACTCGTCGAAGTTTGCCACGTCTAAGCGGCACACACTTGGAACTTTGGTTTCCGCTTGTTAGACGAGCCACAGGTAGAAGGATGGGTGTGGTGAGTGTGAATGAGTGAGTAAGAGAAGAGGGAGCACGTTTAGTCCTGAAGGCTAGGCAGCAGACATGATTTCTCCCGACCAAGCTCCATCGATTAAAATAACATTTATGCTTATAATTAAATAAATGTGCTCGTTCTTTTTTTGCCTTGCCTAAATCCAAATTGTACAACTTTTTCATGTCTAAACGCTTCTGATAAGGCGAAGGTGTTTCACACCTGCCCCTCCCTTTGTCAGGAACACACGAGACATTTCGGTGCAAGGGTTCACACGGAGCAGACGCCTCTTTTTATCACCATTTATAGTATTAGTTGTGTTTGACTGGGTTAGAATAAGCATGCTCTTTTTGTATTCATGTTCGTTTATATAAGCAGTGACTTGGGGTTGAATGTAGTTTAGTAAAAGTTGTGTGTGCGCGTGCGTGTGCGTGTCCCATGAGTTTCAGGCATATGTCTTAATCATAGACCTGAATAAAGAAAAAGTGAGTATCTCTGGAAAAGTAGAGCCACAGTGTCCTGAAACATTGGCCTCCATGTTTTTGGAGTCTTCGATGTGGAGCAGTAACTCATTTTCCCTGCATGTAATCACGTTTTAAGTATAAAAAACAAAATAGACACAAAGGCCAGTGTTTCCCCTAGGAATTTTTCCTGGGGGGTGATTATGACACATCTCACCTTTATGTTAATATTGTTTTATTTGATGCACTCAACTTTGAACTGCACCAATCCAGCAACTGCTGCATTTTATTAACTAGTATTAAAGGTGAATACACCAATATTTGCACAAGAATAATTTTTGTTTTAAACTCTCAGTGACACACTTTGCAGGGAGGATTTGGCATTTCATTTTTCTTGGCGTCTGGAAAAGCATCTCCTTCTGCCCCCTTTATTTGACTTTCTGCTCCCTTTATTTTGGTCCAAGATCATTACTGGGCTGGCCCTATTAAACATGTTCTACACCCCTGCTTAGTAGACTTAATGAAGTATTTTTAAGCTAGTATAAAAATGACTGAGACACAAATTTACATATTTAGCATTATTGACAAATATCTTTGATTTAATTTATTTGTTAAGAACATCAAGATGCATTACAGTGAACATTATAATAAAGTACATTTTTCTAGTGCAGAGAGGAGACAACCCATAGAAGCACTGATTTGATCTCATTTCAGAGAAAAATAGAACAGGTCAGATGCACCTAATAAATAAAATTACTAACATAAACTCAGGAATCTGTTTCTTTGCTTCATTGTTCTGGTGCTGAAAATATCACTAATGCGGATCAAAGGAGATACACATAGGGATGGGCACCGAATTCGGTACTTTTTAAGGTACCGACCGAATTCCATAGTACCGACCGAGCACCGATTCACGTCATTTCAAACGGTGCCTCGTTTCGGTACCCGTCCATCATAACGAGAACTTGCCAAGACAGCTGCGCATGCGCAAGAGCGTTTTGTCGTCGCTCGCTGCGAACCAGTTGTAAACAGAGCAGCATGGTAGAAAGAACGCACGCTAAAGCTTGGGTCCGCTTCACTAAATGTGATGGGTAACTGGGTGATGATGAAACCAGCGACAACGATCTAAGTGAGACATCCTCATCTTAATCTGCTCTGGTAGGTAAATTTAATTAGCTTGATATTTTAGCTTCCGTTTCGCTAATGGTGCGTTTGCTTTCTCCTCGGAACTCCGAATTCCCGACTAGAAGAACATGAACGCGCTCTAAAGTTTGGCTTCACTTTACTAAATGTGACGGGTGAAGACGAAACCAGTGACAACGATCTAAGTGTGAGGCATCGTTTTAATCTGCTCCAGTAGCTAAATAAACTAAGATAACGTTAGCTTGATATCTTGGCTTCCATTGCTACCATTGTTATCAGCTAATGGTGCGTTCGCTTTCTCCTTGGAAATTCTAACTTCCCGGTAGGAAAAAGGACGGTAAAAGGAATGAAGTTACACAGTAAATTTAGTTCACAGCAAAGATGTTTGCTTCAGTTTAATTATCAGCTAATAAACCACAAGGACGATGTTAAAATACAAACAGTTGAATGTTATTTATCGTGATATTTATCAAATATTGTTATATATTGAGAAAATATATATTTAATTATAAAAGAAAATTAAAATAATAAACAAAATTATCGAAAATTGGTACTGTTAAGTACCGGTATCGATTCGTAGGTACCGGGAATTGGTACCGGATCGATTCAAATGTCAAAGGTACCCATCCCTAGATACACAGTAGAGATGGGGGTGCGCGAGGTGAAAAGTGTAATGGCTGCGGAGCTCAGAGAAGTCTGTCATATGTCACCATTTGCGTAGCCAGAAACTCATTTGTGGGTGGGCCTAAGAAAAAGTAAGTGGGCACAATAAATGTAATTGAAAACAAGTATATTTTTGCGTGTGTGTCCTCCACATGTGCCCTAGCTTCATAATAACAAGGCGCCAAGCTTCAGCACTGGCCTGCGCACGCCGATATGTTTCGTATTTGATAATTTTTAACGGTGTTGGAGAAATCTGAAGGTGGCGAGTCATTCTGGCAGATTTAAGACCCTGTCTCATGCAGGTGTTCTGACATTGTAAACCTCACACACAGAACATTGTGGATGTAACTAAATAAATCAAGAAATGATTCCCATTCAGGCTATTGACAGCGCGCTGAAGATCTGAAGTTCAGAGTGCGTCTGTCAGAGGTCAGACGCGTTCCAGCGGAACCACGGCTCACGGGTGCACAAGTGAGCACATCTTGGCTGTGCAGAAGTAATTTTACAACATTGGTTTAAATAGCGCGAGACGCGGTGACTTGAGCGGCTCATGTGTTATTTTGTAATTATGTTGTTTATTTGTTTACATTTTTTCCCTTTAGTCTTAAAAATTCCAATATTTGCCCATAACTTCTTATTTTATGTCTGTTTGATGTCATCATTTTAAAAATATTAGATCAGATGATACTCAGTACTCAAGTAGGCTTCTAATCAGATACTTTTTTACCCTTACTTGAGTAATAAACCCTATATCAGGAAAATATCATCCTCGGTTTGTGTCCTTCCAGTGAGCTTTGCAGATGTGGGAAAATGTCATCAGGCAGTAATCATTGTTAAATTCATAATTATTCTCGGAGAGAGACCAACTCTTATCTGCCCCTGGGAGCCCCGTAATGCATAGCGTCATTTAAACATGGGGGTGTCCGCGACACGGTTTATATGCAGGTAGCGGCGCTGCAGCTGCTTTATATAGCGACTCGTTGCGTTCTCCCTCAACCCAAATCCTCGGATCACGCATTTTAGCTAAAACGCTAACGTTAGCTTGCCTTGCGTTGACTGTAGAGTTGTGGGTGATGGTCACGCAGATGTGTCATGAGATTTGAAGCGTTGCTGCCTTTCACAGACACTTTTTCTGCACGTGCTGCAAACAGGATAGCCGTCCGTCTTCTATAAACTCCCTCAGCATTCTTCAAATATCTAAAAGATGCCCGTACTTCCGACTTTGTCTTCTTTGAGGGATAATAAATGTCCTCCTGAGCGCTGCCGTCTCCTCCTTTGGCCATTATTTCAGCTTTAGCTTCAAGAAAGTTTTGCTTGTAAACAGCAAAGCGCGCATGTACCGCCGGCAACTTCAGCAGATGATACGGTGGCTGGTAAGGGTCACCTCGCCTACACCACAGCCATGGTAAACCCACCAAGATAATATAGTTTTTTTTTTTTAAAACAAGACGGGTATTGTCAACTTTTTTTTTTTTTTACCGGTGTTTATCGCTACACTGGTTACCGTGACAACCCTACCTGATCGGTCTGCTTTGATCTATTTTGAAAACTCCGATCAAAACCGATAGGGGCGCTATCGGCTGATTACGATCAAATGCCGATCCATCGGTGCATCCCTAATATATATATCCATGCCCTGATGTGGGGGCTGGGGGGTGCGTCGACATGGTCGGGACATAGAAAGGGGGTGCGCGGCTAAATAAGTTTTGGAACCACTGCGCTAGGGTGATGTTGACACCAAAACAAAGCGGAGACTCGCCTCTTACATCAGGAAGAATCCGCGCATTTCGAGCTTCATCCGTTCTTTCATAATCCGTTGTTGAATTGTGATCGGCAGAAACTTTTCCGGTTCGTGCCTCACATTTTTTTTACAGCAGCGGCCCAAAACGATCTAACACATGGATTTTCTGCTTCCTGATCACATGACGTGTGACGTACGTGGATGAAGATCGGCTTTAGAGCTGGGATGTTTGTTCTCATGGTGTGGGGGCTCGTTCAGACGCCCACACAGTAAAAAGAAAAAAAAGCAAATGACGACTTTTGTTTTCAGTGGCAGTTAATAAGTTAAGGGCTTGGCCTCTAGATGAGCTGAATGTAGTAATGAATAAAAGAGATTTAACCCTTCCTCTTTTTATTGTCCTTTTACAATTTCATCCCCCAAGTGAGCAATCATGAGCAGCACACCTCATATGGAACTGGTGCAAAAGGCGAAGCTGGCCGAGCAGGCTGAGCGCTACGACGACATGGCTGCTGCAATGAAAGCAGTGACCGAGGAGGGTGAGCAGCTGTCCAATGAAGAGCGCAACCTGCTCTCTGTGGCCTACAAAAACGTTGTGGGTGCCCGTCGCTCCTCTTGGCGTGTGGTTTCCAGCATCGAGCAGAAGTCGGAGGGCAGTGAAAGCAAGCAAGCAAGGATCAAAGAATACCGGGAAGTCATCGAGAAGGAGCTGCAAGAGATCTGCAATGATGTTCTGGTGAGAATATGTAATAAGAGAGCTGCTACTTTTATTTGTTTTTATCCACTTGGTATGTTTTTTCGTGTCTTTCGTAAACACCACAAAAGCTCTGAAACAAGTTCAGTGTTTTCTTTTCATGGCTGTTAAAAAGGTAAGCAAGACTTGTTAAGTTTACCATCTGAGTTTAATTATCTGTTTACAAATAAAACGATTTTGAATTCGCTACTGTGCCTCCTCCGTGGACGCTGGGCTTACGAAGCGCCGGTCGGGGGAAACCCTGATACTGAATATTGCATTAATGTTATTGTGTTACAGGATAATGCCAGTACCAGTTAAACTGAGGAGTTAACACACCGTTACTGCAGAGTGGAATGACCTACAGTAGTGTCCCGTTTCACATCTGAGGTGTTTAAGTCTGCCACTAAAGAAGCTGTCTGTGGCTTCCACAGTAAAATAGTGTGTGTGACGGGTTTTCCAAGATAGAGAACATGAGTGATGTGTTCGGTTCCCTTGGTTCTTATTAAGACTCTAGCAGCAGCATTCTGAATAAGCTGCAGCTGCTTCACGGCTTTTTTGGGGGGGGGGGGGGGGGGACCAGTTAGGAGACCATTGCAATAGTCCAGCCTGCTGTAGATGAACACATGAATAAGTTTCTCCAGGTCTTGTCTGGACATGAGACTTCTGAGTAGTGCTATTTGATGCAGATGATAAAACACTGATCTTGTTAAAGCCTTAATGTGACCAGTGAAGCTCAGGTATGAATCAATTATGACACAAAAAGATTTCTAATCTTTATTCCTCTGGAGCAAAGCTGAGCAGTAACCTCCATCCTAGCCTTCTTATCTCCAAAGGCAATAACTTCAGTCTTGCCTTTGTTTAACTGGAGGAGGTTTGACTGCATCCAGTCATTAAGTTGCTCCAAACACTGATAGTGGGTCTAGAGGACCACGGTCACGAGGTGATAGAGCTAGGTAGATCTGGGTGTCATCTGCATAACTATTTAATTTCATTTGACTTTATTTGTAAAGCCCCTTCCACAACCTTATCGGGCATCCAAGGTGCTGGAAAATACAGCAAGCAACATAAAACCCAATAAAGAAAAAACTATGATAGGTAATGTTGAATTGAGCCTTGGGGGACTTGTTTCTCTCTTTCTTTCGCTCTCGGTCTCTCTCTCTCATCACATTTAATCGTTTTGACAGAAGAAAATAATATATTGCGATATTGTAACTGCACATGCTTTAAATTAAATTGTAACGACTCATAATAGTATGAAATTTCTTGAGTGTAGTTTTTTTACTTTAATACTGCCATTTCAGCAAGTTTAATATACATCCCATGTGTAGATCCTATTCTTATTTTCTCAGCTTGTGTATTCTCTGCCTGAGGTGACTCAGGGTGGTAATCCTATCATTAGAGAAGATGACCCACCAATGTTCTGCATTGCTGACCTCCACTTCAGCTCAAAGCCTAATGGAGAGTGAAAGAAAGGGAGGGCATGTGGGGCAAGTAGGTTTAGGATATGGCTGAGTTTGTTTCATCCAGCTGAAGCTGTGTGTGTGATTACTCTTGTGCTGGGCGGTACAGCACACGTCTTAAGGCAGCTTTTCCAAACTCTTCAACACACTGAAGGTAACCACATCAGGCCTGGCCTTCTTCCCAGGACACATCCTGCCTTAAGTGTGCATGTCTGTTCAAGCAGAAGATCTGCTCTGAATTGACAATTGAATCTTTTTTTTATGCTTCTAGGACCTGCAGCTTATTTTATGGATTATTTTTTGGGGTATTATGTTTTAGTGAACACATGGGGGTGGAAATCTTTCCTGAGCTTGCCTGCGCCATAGAGCCCCCTGGATTAGTCTTTGCACCCTTTACATCTGCATACTTATTATGTATGAAATGAACAGTCACACCGAGTGAAAAACCAAACTTTATCAGTTTCACATGGATACAGGTGCATTATTTACATTGTAAGTATTACAGTTCACTGTCTGAAGTACTTTTGCTGATGTCATCAAATAACTTAAGTCCCAGATCAACGGCCATTTTGGAGATACGGTGGTGATTAACAGGGCTTGGTCAAACACAGATCTTTACACCTTAAGTCCCTCAAAGGCTGAGATGCTTACAGGCCAGATGGGGAAAGGCAAGGCAGCTTTATCTGTATAGCACACTTCATACATTCAATTCAAAGATACTTTATTAAGCCCAGAGGAAAATTAGAAAAAATCTAGTGTGCTTTCCAGGAGCAAGAACACAAAACAACCCATTTATTAAATCAAATTCAAAATACACAAAATTAGTTGTAAGAATGAGATAAATAAGGCAAAGTTAAAGGCTGAGCAGTTATAGTGCAGCAAAATAAATTTTGGTAGCCTATAAAAGTGTTTTTCACAAATAGACCTGTTGGAGTCATTTTCATTTCAGATACTGACCAGATGATTCTATTTGTCATCATTTAACTGTTTTAGCAACCAAATCTGTTTTAATTGGCTCCAGAAAGGCCAAGGACCATAATCTCTTTGAATCTTGTTTCCAGGAAAACAAATCGACTTGATGGAAATCACGGAAGTGTCATTTCTGTCATGATGCAGTAAAACAATCTGTGGCCCTAGCACAGGTTTTCTTAGGTCTGCATATTGCTGTAGTGATATTCTCATTTTAGCTGTGCCCTTGCCAGCGGCCCAGTTCTACATTCAGATCCCAGAAGGGTTCTCTGATCTCTAACACCAGCGTTCAGCAAATACAGGCCCTCGTTGGCCCCTTTTTATTTCATGGTGTTTGTGGTGTAAATGATGGGTGGTGCTTAAGCAGTTACAACATGGTAGAAGTTTTGTAGCTGCACTAGAACGACATTGTGGCACAGCTGGTAGCACCCTCACCTTAGCGTGAGAAGGTTGCAGGTTTGAATCCCGGCTGTGGCCTTTTTTCATGAAGTATTGTGTGTTAGATTTTTCTGGGTTGTTCAGGTTTCCTCCCACAGATCAAAAACATGTATGCCAGGTTAAATGGTGTCTATATCGTCTCTAGGTGTGAGTGAGTGTGTGACTGGTTGTGTTTGTCTCTGTCGTAGACTGGCAATTTGTCCAGTGCGTCCTCCGCCTCTTGTTTAATGTCTGCTGGACGTGGCCGCCAGCTTCCCCAAGACCCTACTGAGGATGGAGCAGTTAGGATGCATGGATCCTGCATTGCATTTCTCAGGCGTCACCTATGTGTGTTGGTGCATGGAGATGGATGTAGTTATTTTCTGAGTCTGAAACAGTTACATTCTGACAATAAACTAGAAATTACAAAGATTTCAAGTTGACATGATCTAGACAGGGTTTTCTAACAGAATTACTGCTGCAGCATTGTTCTTTATATTTAAAATGCAGATTTAACCACTAAAATGTTTGCAGAAATAACTAATATTTTTGTTGTCAATAATGGCTTCCCCCTTGCTCGTTTCTAGCTTGGATTCAGGTTAGCAGCATGAGCAGATTATCTAGCGCTGCATGCTTGTACTGTCAAGTGCCAGGCTGAGCTGTGTGAGTGACCTACTTCCTCATCAGGAGTTCAGCAGCACAGCTCCACCCCCACCAGCTTCTGTCCATGCAACCCATCGTCCTTGTCCGTCCCCATCACTGGATTCCTGTATTGGCCATCCTCACTCTCTTGTCTGTTCAGCTCGCCCCTTTCTCCTCCCCTGTGCTCTCATGCCATGTTCAGATAGATCCACCCCCTTCTGTGGTCCCTGAAGCATCTGTGATCTAGCTTATCCACATTGTCACGCTCAAACCCTGAGGCTGCTGCTGGCAGCCAACTTGCCTTTACTCATGTTTAAGTCTGAAGAAGAAGAACAATGAGTCACTCCACAAGAACAAAAAATAAGACATTGTTTAAAAATGGGGGGGGGGGGGGCAGTTTTAGATTAAAAAAGGCCTTTAAAAACAATCATAGTTTTTTTTAACTGCCCTGGTGAGATCGATGACTGTTTCAGCTCAAATGTCAGATGAAAAGTTTTCTGCATATGAACAATTTTGTTTGCAAATATGAAATTGTAATTTGTTTCATTTTTTCCACCACAGGGTCTTCTGGACAAGTATCTCATTCCCAAGGCGTCTCCAGCAGAGAGCAAAGTATTTTATTTGAAAATGAAAGGAGATTACTACCGCTACTTGGCTGAGGTGGCTACAGGAGAAAAAAGGGATGGTAGGTAGCTTTTTAGATGTGCATCACCATGGAACCTGTTCTTTAGGTTACACACATGTTAATCACCCCAATAGTCATTGATGACCTAGTGAGTATGGATCACTAACTGCAGAAAACCCTGTTACAGTTGGCTTTTCACGGCATTTTTCTTTAAAAAAGGACGAATGACACAATCATTCAGTTTTATAAATCTCTTTTTATGCCATTATAATTTATAAGATAATTCAAAAATGTGTGTATATCCACACATGCAATAAAAAATTAATAATAAAGCACAGGTATGTACAGAGAAGGTATAAGCATGAGTTAAACTTTAGAGTATCAGTTCACCTAGCTGCTTGTGTGCAAAGCAGTGACATTTAACTTGGACCTAATTAAGTCTGAAAGTGATCATAAATGTTATTAAAGTAGGTAAAACTGCTGTGATTTTCACATAATCTATATACACACACACACACACACACTACAGGCCAAACGTTTGGACACACCTTCTCATTCAATGTGTTGCATTTATCTTCATGACCACATCAGGAGATTGTCACTGAAGGCATCAAATCTATGAATGAACACATGAGGGGTTATGTGTTTAACCAAAAAGGTGAAATAACTAAAAACATGTTTTATATTCTATTTTCTTTAAAAAGCCACCCTTTGCTCTGATTACACACTCTTGGTGTTCTCCTGATGAGCTTCAGGAGGAAGTCACCTGAAATGGTTTTCCAACAGTCTTGAAGGAGTTCCCTGAGGTGTTTAGCTCTTGTTGGCCTCTTTGTAAATGGTCATGGTCATGAAAATAAAGAAAACACACTGAGTGAGAAGGTATGCCCAACCTTTTGGCCTGTACTGTATGTGTGTGTGTGTGTGTGTATATATATATATATAGATATATATAGATATATATCAATCTATATATGATTGATAGATATATATAGATTGATATATATATAGATATATATAGATATATATCAATCTATATATGATTGATAGATATATATAGATTGATATATATATAGATATATATAGATATAGATAGATGGATGGATATATATATATATATATATATATATATATATATATATATATATATATATATATATAGATAGATATGGATGGATGGATGGATGGATACAGTACTCCAGTATAAAAGCGACCGCATCAGCAGGGTATCCGAGGGGTCTTGAAAAGTCTTGAATTTGATTAAAGGGAAATTAAGACCCTTAAAAGTCTTTTAAAAGTCTCATGAATTTAGTAGTCTTAAATTAGGTTATTGATGTGAATTTAAAATACATTTGTCTCAGATGTTAACTTCAGGATTCAGTTCAAGATCCTGGTTCTGGTCTATAGGGCCTTACATGGACAAGCACCATCATACATTGGTGATCTTCTCAGTCCCTACACCTCCAGCAGGTCCCTGAGGTCCAGTGACCAAATCCTACTGGTTGTGCAGCACCAGGCTAAAGGTCAAAGGTGACAGATCATCTGCTGCTGTGGCCCCCAGACTCTGGACCATCCCCCCCCACACACCCCCAAATCTGAGATCAGTGGACTCAGTGGTCTCCTTTAAACTCACCTGTTCAGACTTTGGTGGGACTTTCATCACCGCCCTCTCCTTGTTCTGCTCTTACTACCTACTCCGCCTTTCCCCACAAGCCACTGGTCTTTCCTATTCATTTTCTCTCTCCCTTTCCTTACATAATTTTTTTAATCACAGTTTTTATGTATTTTTTCTCATTTAAACAAATTTTTAATCATTTATAATCTTTTTTTATACTTTGTTTTTATTTTATTTTTTGTGTGTGTGATGCGCCTCGTAATTTTCATCTTCAGAGGCGCTCTATAAAAGATCGTTTTCTTTCTTTCATACTTGCAAAATTGGCACTTTTTGGCAAAAATGGCCGTTTATAGGGAGCCTAAGTCTCCTCCCTTTCCGGTTGGCTTGCGAGTCCCCGGAAGAACGAAATAATGAATGCAAGTCAATGGGGCAATCTGTAAATCTCTAAAATTCAGACATCATATGTGAAGTCCATGGCACATAACAAGCAGGATTGGGAAAATAGCATTTTTAGCTCTATTGACTTGCATTCATTTTTTCGTACTTTAAGGACCCATGGTCCGGAAGTAGATGGGTGTGACTTAAGCCTGGTTTATGCCTCTCCGTCAGCTTCACAAGGGACAGACACACGGATTGACGGAAGCGTTTTGCTCTCATACTTCTCCGTCTCCTGGGGAGTGTTGCAAAGCAGTTGCCCGGCAGGACAGCAGAGGGCGTAGCACTGTTCTGTGGTATCCTGTCATGTATTGGTCCAAGATCGTATGTTTATATTGTGTTTTTTGTGTATATTAGAGACTTTTAACACGGACATATTTTGTCTCTCATTCTCCCACCGCTTCATGCGCTCCCCACCTCTAAACCCACGTTTCCTGTCATCTCCGTCCACAAATAAAACGCTTGCTGCGCATCTTTTCACTCCTCCACTCACGGGAGAATTAAACATTCATATTTTTAGAGTTTTTTTCGCGAGATATTCTTCAAGCTTCTCCGTGTCTGTCACTAGTTTTCCTCGGCTCTCTTTACAATGGCGGCGCTGTAAACAACAGCGGCGTCCTGACCAATCACAAGCTTGCGTAATCCGTCTCGTTCGACGGATGTTTAAAAAAGTGGGCTCGACTCCGTACGTACTTGCGTGCCCTACGCAAGGACGGATAATGGCGTTGCGTGTCTCCGCACTGACGCAGACGGAGAAGCATAAATCAGGCTTTAGGCTCCATACAACGTTCATGTGACTCAAGAGTTTTTGTTTGTAGGAAAGGTGAGTTTTTGATCTGGTTTCAGTCGCTCTTTATGAGAATCAATATCAGAAAAACGAGAGTGTTCATCCTGTTCACAAACCATCTTTGTCAGTGGGTCACGGGTCATCATTTGACCAGTCACGGAGACAGATAGTCAAAAACGTGCTGCGGTAGCCAGTATCGCGGCGCCGCTACTACTGTCGCTTAAACATCTCGCAGCGGTTGGAGCTTAAAGTTTGTAAAATCAAATAAAATCCCCTCCAAGTCCCAGTTTCCTGTCAAGAACTTAATCAGGTTTGTCTCCTTTCAGTTTCAGCCTTCACTGATGTTTCCTGTGGCTTGTGGTCTTTTTGTTTGTTGGGGGGAGTTGGGTTCAAGTGTTGGTCAAAAACAGGTTTTCTAGTAATTAGACAGGTCCAGAGTCTGGATCTGTTTTCAATGAGATGTTATTAGTGGAAAACAAATAGATCTAAAGATCTTCCTGGTACTTTTACTATCATTCTATTGTGGAAGGTCAGCACAAATATTCAATGAAAACTTTAAAAAGCTGCTTAAACCTTCATTTTCTTATGGTGTCCTGTCTATATATAAAATCTGTTGACGGTTTAAAATAATTTAAGGTCTTCAGAGCCACACTAGAAGGTCCAAAGAGCCTTGGGTAAGCTGTGGTCACTGGTAGCCTGGCCTGCCAGACTCGTCCTGTTTAAATCTGCCCCGAGAATGAGTCTGGTAACTCACAGGCAGAGAGGCACTTGAGGGGCTGGACTAGGCAGCTCAAAAATGACCAATCACGGTATCCACGGGTTCTTAAAAAGTCTTAAATTTGCTTTTCCAAATTTAAGGCCTTAAAAATCCTTAAAAATTACAAATAATCCTTAAATACAGTTTCCAAAGGTCTTAAATTACCAAAGACCCAATAAACAAGATTCTTTCATTTCTATAAAATTTTCATGAATTTCTAGCATTTTTTCTGTTCAGCATTTTTTGTGTACGATATAAGCGGAACCGTACACGTTCAGTTGGTTGTGAAAGGGGCCTATTTTTAGATGAGCTGGTTAAGCTAGTTGGAGCTTCTACCATGGGGAAGGGCAAGTTTAATGGTAACTGGATGGCTAATCCCACGTCCGCGATGTGGTTAGCACCGGTTCCAGGCAATAGCTGGAAATTAGGGCTGCTCGATTATGGCAAAAATAATAATCACGATTGTTGTGACTGAAATTGAGATCTCGATTATTTAAGACGATTTTTCAATTTATGTTGATTTTATTTGTTTTTATTCAGTCATAAAATTGCTCAGGGCACAATCAGGTCAAAAATAAGAAACAAGATGATCACTAAAAGAACTCCTGATTCCCAGTATAAAAAGACCAATATGCTTATAGCTCATAGTTTATGACCCAAGAGCTGTAGACCTTGGTTTAACTCATTTAAGTGTAACAAGTACAGACCCAAATACCAATATCTTGCAAATACTGACAGCAAGAATTATACAGTGGCATTTATAACAAATAAATGCAAATAAATTTATGTTCACAAAATGTTGCATAACATTTATTTAGTTGTGTCAAGGTGCTGTAGGAGTGTGCACGAGGTTAGTTATTATTTATCAGCGTGAGGAACTTATTTCTACCTTATTTATAAACTATTTATTTACAAGTCCATCAGTTAATGTAATAATTGTCCCAACCACAGCTGCACCCACCACCCCCCACCCCCAACCTGGTCTCACAGCAATCAGGGGCAAGCTGCTTGTGTGTTTAACGCACCGCACACGCACATTTAGCCGTTTTTAGCGGCTCAGGAGCCTGCAGGTGCGGTGTGTGTGTGTCACTCACTCTGGTTACTCCAACAGGGAGCCGGCTCTGAGAGCCGTTTCTTTAGCGACCGACACATCACTACATCATTCCCTTTCCTAATGTCCTGAAGAACGGTCCGGAGCGCAGGCGGAGTGTTTAGCTAACCTGCAGGAAATGTTGACGACAGTTATCCAGAAAGTAGCTAAGGGTTGCCAGAGATGTTTCTGAGATGTTCGCTAGGTACTTTTAAGATTTAAAAAGTCAAGAAGGGGGTCTGAAAAGCTGCTAGAAATAGCGTCAAAGTCGCCAAGTTGGCAACACCCTAGAAGGAGCGCTTCAATTGCAGCTCAGGGCAGCGCAAGTGGGAGGAGCAAATAATCGGCTTGTTTTGTTTTTATAATCGTTCAAAACTCAGATCGTAATCGTGATTAAAATTTGATTAATTGAGCAGCCCTACTGGAAATTATAGCTTAAAATAAATTTAAAAAATGGCTTAAATTTGGTCAAAGTGGCCTTAAAAAAGGTATTAAAAAGTCTTAAATTTGGCTCCCTTAAACCTGCAGATACCCTGCAATCAGAAAAAAGGCTGAAATCCCGACTGTACTGCACGATGCGGTAGATTTCTAGTTGTAGTAAAAAAATTGCGTCTGGCAATGGCGCAAACATCTTTTATTTTGTTAGAAGAAATGCTTTTAGCGCTTCTACTTGTGATTTTAAAGACATTTGAGTCATTTAGAACAGAGGAAAGTCGCAGCAAACTCCGCCGCTGTCTTCGTTGTTTATGAGAAACTGAGCGCCCCCGTGTGTGACATCTGCGACGCTGTAGTTTTTTTTAGCTGTAGTAAAAATGACGTCTGGCAACAGCGCAAACATTTTTGTTTTGAAGAAATGCTTTTAGTGCTTCTACTTGTTGTGGTTTTAAAGACGTTCAAATCATTTAGAACAAAGGAAAGAGCCGCAGCGAACTCCACTTCAGTCACCATGTTTATGACAAACTCGGCGTTGTGGTGTGTGACGTACGCTACTCAGCCCTGATTGTCTCGGTTAGAATTCTCACGGGGTGGGGTTATTTGAATAGGAGAGTTCCCAGACTCTTTCTCTGTGCAGAATTAAACAGAGGAGGGGTCTGGCAGGCCAGGCTAGGTCACTGGAGAGGGACTGGGAAACGGTATTAAAGCTTTTGCTGTTTGCTTGTTCAAGCTGAATCAGATAGAACATGAATTATATAATAATAATTTTATGTATATTTAACAGTGATGTTGGAGATAAAAGGCAGAATGGATAAAGTAAAAACATTTTTTTATCTCGTTGCTTTGAAACGTCCCACAGTGGGTGAGTTGGGTTCTGGTCATCCTACTAAAGAAAATGATTACAGTCATTTGGAATATTTTCACATTAGTCTCCTAATAATAATTAATTTTTAAATGATGATCCCTAATCAGTCAGTTTGATGTATTTTTTAGCTCTCTTGAACAGTATGACTGGTAGACAATTGCTTGCATTTTGCAAAAAAAATCACAATAAATAATTATTCTTAATAAAATAAAGGCATGTAAATGTCAGCGGTCACCACAAAGCCCACTGTAGTGTAGATGCAAATCTGCAGCACGCAGGAACCTTTCATTTTAGTTGTCACACGTTTCACAGCTTACGAGTTTGCAGGTATGAAAAATTGATGCATGGAAACTACTTTTATTTTTTGTTCTTCTATGCCAGCTGTTTGTGTTTTTCTACCACGTGGCTTTACTTATTATTGCTACAGCCTTGCTGTCCCAGAAGTGATGCAACCCGACAGTTGAAGAGGTGGAAAACGAAGCCATGCAGCATTTAAAAATAGTATACGAGTGTTCAATAGTTGGGTTAGCTGATTGCAGTAAAGTCTTAATCTTGTTTTTGGGGGGCTTAAAGTCTTAAAAGTCTTGCATTTAGTTTTGAGATCCCTGCATATACCCTGTATAAGTAAATGGAGTACACATATGTTAAGATAAAATAAGAACAAGTTAAAATCGTGAATCAAGTAAAAATGCCTAAAACGAACAGAGTGATCAATCATTTACGGCATCAGTGAAAAGATACGTTTTCAGCTTTACAAACTTCCTCCGAGCATGCTTCTCTGTGGCAGAGCGCATCAATAAGAGTTGGCGTTTGTTTATCTTTCTGAAAACATCCTTTTTAAGGTTTTTCTGGTCTTACTTTGCTTTTCCCCTTATAGACATTATTAAGGATTCAGAGAAGGCTTACAAAGATGCCTTTGAAATCAGCAAAGAAGAAATGCAGCCTACGCATCCAATCCGCCTTGGTCTTGCTCTTAATTTCTCTGTGTTCTACTACGAGATCCTCAATTCACCTGAAGAAGCCTGCAAGCTGGCCAAACAGGTAATTGTTGTAACTGTGCAAACTACTAATCAACGTGTAGATTCAACTACAGCTGGGATGGTGGGTTATTTCTTCAGCCCGTTGGGCTGGTCTAGAAGGCAAATGTCTACAGCACTGACTCGTAACTAACACTGTAGCCTTCCAGGCTTTAACATGTGTTTGAATCCTTCAGGCCTTTGATGATGCCATTGCTGAACTCGACACGCTGAGTGAAGAATCGTACAAAGACAGTACACTAATCATGCAGCTATTAAGAGACAACCTGACTGTAAGTTTCATTTCACTGATCAGAAACATCAGATGTTCAGATAATAGATCAGAGTATCAGAACCGGGGGGTTGTGTTCGCCAAATGTTTTCCGTATTGGACTGTTGTTGTTGAACAGTGACTCAGGGTGTCTGTGGGGTCTTTAAGTCTGAACTTTAATTTTCAGATGCCTACATATACCCTGTGACTGTAGAATCTGAAGGTTGTCGGTCATTTTGACAGATTGCAGTTCACACCCGACGCGTGCAGGAAAACATTAGACTGTACGTCGTGACACCTGCACGAGCGTGTCATCATTTATTGGACTTATGATTGGAGGTAGAAAAAATAACGCGCAACTCAACATCAGAGGTGACAAAATCAGAAGATTTACATCTGAGGATTTTCTCACACTGTAACATTGTTCTCAGCGAATGCTGCTGAGCACAGGCACCACCGGTCCCGCTGACCACTGCCAGCAGGCAGGGTGGGCTAGGTGTCTTGCCCAAGGACACGGCAGCATTCTGAGAAGAAGGAAGTTGAAGAAGAAGCTGCGCTCGTACCACAGCTGGCGAAATCTTAAGACGAGCATTTCATTCTAGCGTTGATATGTTACTGGGGTACTCTGGTCAGGTTGTTCGGACTAAATATTTCTAAGTGAATGCAAATTTAAAGGTAATGAATATTTAAAACAAAAGTGATGGAGAAAAACGATCACGACCTTTTGTTTTTACCCTGTTGGTTAAAATGGTGATGTTTTAAATGTGATGCTGTTTAAAACCCAAAGACAAGAAAAGTGATGAAAATGTTGTTGAAACAGAACAGTTAATGTTACGCCGCTAAAACCAGGACTTGTTTGGCCATTTTTGTTCCAAAATGATGATTGGCTGTTTCAGATCATGACTTGGGAGGCATTAGAATAAAATTGTTGCACTGAGATATGGAGACAAGATTTGGTTAGGGAAGATGAGCTTCTTCGCGAGGTGAATGGTGACCAAACTCCTCATTCTTCTTTTTCTTTGATCTGTCTTCAGCTCTGGACTTCTGATAACCAGGCTGAGGGAGAGGAAGCAGAGGAGCCCAAAGATTAAGCCACCTTCCTAATGCCATCCCTGTCTGCCTGCCATCGTCTAGGATCTACATCATGATCATCCACACTTTGACCATCTCATTGTTGTCATCAAACTCTCGCCATTGTTTTTAGGTTTCTACTCATCTCACTACTTTTGGTTGGCGGTCTGTTCTCTTGTAACTGTGGGTAAAATGGGATGGGCAGCGAGGGGGAGTATTGACAGTATGATGGAAGGGTTCGTGTATGTTTGGGGGATGATGGTGAACTGTTTTTTCTGACTCTGGGTCTTCTAAAGTGTGGGAGCACGCGTTCTGAAATTATGAGACATGCAGCACCTGAAGTTTAAACAAACAGAAAAGATTGGATCCTCCGGTTAAAATGTAATTGTGAGTAAGACACCACATCAGATTGGACCACAGCTATCACTCCATACTAAACATAAGGAATTACAGCAGAGGTGAACATGTTGATGAGGCGTGCTGGAGATGGAGGGCAACATTTTATACCGGTTACATTCCATTTACCGTTAGATGTTAAATTTTCTACTTTTTTTTTTTTTTAATAATTTCTGGGGGGCTGCTTTTTTATGCATATCTATTTCTAGGTTTAGAAAAACTGAACAAGCTTGTATTGTTTTGTATGAGCACCGCAGTAAGAAAAAACCCACCCATTTTTCTATTACTACTGCTTTTTCAAATTTAGTTTTTCTTTCGGTCGAAATTGTTGGTAAGGGGTAGTTTGTGGAGGACTAAGGAAGGCTGTTGGGCTTTGTTAGCTTTGTCTTTGACCTTGTCATACTGAACACTTAAGCTTAACTGTTATTTGGGGAAAATGTGTAATTTCATGTAAGTGGAATAAAATGTTTAAAAGATTTAATTTGTCATTTTTAAGTGGTAAACTACTACTCTCAAGTGCAAAGGCCAGGTCTAGTCACTGGAATAATGGATAGTCTGTTTAAGTCTTGCATAAGGACCCTTTACAAGCCCACACATCACAGACCCAACTAGCCCTCCACAGGTTCATCATTTATTCAGACAGGTCAGAATTGTTATAGATGGGCGGATTTGATTTCCAGTGCAAATACTCGTGTACACTTGCTAGACTTTATTCTGGAGTAGTAAGAAAATGCACTGCCAAGTACAATAAACTATTAAACTGATCACTTGGTCTGTTGCAATACTACCAATCTACTGTAATCATCTGTTACCAGAATTCCTTCATCTGTGAGGTCTTAAAGGTCCATTTATATAGCCAGAGACATGTAGGGTGTATGAGGCTTGATGTAATGCCCTGATTGATCCACACTGGTGCCTGTGTGTTAGAAGAGTGGGATAAATAGGTCACTGAGGTCAAACAGGTTGGCTGACATCACCTCTGGAGACAACACTTCCATCCCGGACAGACCCTGATGTCTGTCATGGGTTTTTTCTTCCACACATGAATGAGTGATGGAAAATAGATTTCTAAAGAAAATGAGCAATAAAGCCATCACAGCTCTGAGTTTGAGCACAGGTCAATGTCAAGCATGTAAGCCTGTCCAGCTCGTTTAATTTTAACCAGTGTTAGGCCTGTAAAGAGTAATCCTGACCTATCTGGGCAAGCCAGACTAAATAAATTATTTAAAACTTAGCAATGCAAGAATGGACTAGTTCAGTAGACTAGGCTACCCCTGACCCATTTTGACAGTAAATGTAAAATATCGCGAGATTTGAGAGGTGAAGTCGTGATGGTGAATGCACCACTGCTCTGACGTCCTTCCTTTCAGTCTTGTAATCCGTCTGCGTAGGGTGTGCTCCGGAGCTAGTCTCGGGACACTTTTTATTATTATGAAACAAACCTAAAGCTAGAGAGCACACGCAGACATATTTTTATAAGAAAAATAAGAATCGGTGAAGCAGGATTTGATTTGCCAACCCCAAAACGCGAAAAAGACGCTACCTTCAAAAAGAACGAGCATCGGAACGTCGCTAGTAGGCTACGTAGCTAGCATCATTGTTGAAAGCGTTCAAAATTAATGTTAGCTGGTAACGTTCGTCCTCACTGTCTTTAGGATTGTGTTTCTTATGCTGTATTAAGATTATCTGTTATCCTTAATCTGCCGGTACTTAAGGCCTTTTAGTCATTTAAAGCGCTGAAATTCCGAAGCCTTTAGGTGAGCCATATCGGGTAGGCCACGCGTCGACATTTTGCTTATCAGGCTGAGCAGCACACGTTGTTGGCTGGTAAATTGTGTCTGCCCTAATTTGTGTTGAAACAATAGAGAAACAGCCTATCGTTATTTAAGTTATTCGCCTCTATAAAACCGAGTCCAGTTGTTTTCCACTAGACGAGTCAGCGGTCGCAGACATGAATCCCAGCGCGCCCAGCTACCCAATGGCCTCCCTGTACGTGGGAGACCTGCATCCAGATGTTACCGAGGCCATGCTTTACGAGAAATTCAGCCCGGCCGGACCCATCCTCTCCATTAGGGTGTGCAGAGACATGATCACCCGCCGGTCTCTTGGCTATGCATATGTTAACTTCCAACAACCAGCTGATGGTACGTAACCCTAGTGCAACGTGACAGACTAGTTTAGAGGAGACGGGCTTTTACCATTGTTGTATAATAGAATACCATTTATTTTCCTTTAAGCTCACAGGTGTATTTAGCGTGCACCTCGTGACACCCAGTGTTTGGGAAGATGCTACAATTGTTGCAGATGCAAACTAAACCGATAAATATCTTCCAGCTGAGCGAGCCTTGGACACCATGAACTTTGATGTGATCAAGGGAAGGCCTCTCCGCATCATGTGGTCCCAGCGTGACCCCTCCTTGAGAAAGAGTGGAGTGGGAAACATCTTCATCAAGAACCTCGACAAGTCTATTGATAATAAGGCCCTCTATGACACCTTTTCTGCTTTTGGAAACATCCTTTCCTGCAAGGTAACTATGCAGTTAAGTGTGTGTGTGTGTGTGTGTGTGTGTGCGCGTTCAAACAACTACTCTGCATGGGTGAAGGTTAGATTACAGCAGGGATGTGTTAACCACGCATGGTGTTTGGGAATGTTTTAACCCCCTTAAATCTTCCCTGTTCAAGGTGGTTTGTGATGAAAATGGCTCTAAGGGCTACGGCTTTGTGCACTTTGAGACCCACGAGGCAGCTGAGCGTGCCATTGAAAAAATGAACGGCATGTTGCTCAATGACAGAAAAGTGTAAGTGCTATTGCTGTTACACTTTAACTACGTTTTATTAATCTGGACCTTTCAGATGTAATCATTTTGAATTTGAGTGCATCTTGTTGAGTACATCTAACAATCAGAGTCGGTGCGCTTACTTTTCAAAATGATGACCCACTTTTTAGAAGGTGCCAATATGTCAAAGGCCTTAAACGATTAGACTTTATAACTGTTAAAATGTATTTTTAATAAGAATTAATACAAATATTAACTGACCTTTTTCCACGTGTCAACATTGTTTGCTTGCATGATACTGAAGTGACTAAGATGTAATCTAGTTAAAGTTTGTACAGAAAACCATCAGTTACTGTGTATTTGAAAGCATCATTGTTTTATAACAGCTTTGTGGGACGCTTCAAGTCACGTAAAGAGAGGGAGGCTGAGCTCGGGGCACGTGCCAGGGAGTTCACCAACGTTTACATCAAGAACTTTGGCGAGGACATGGATGATGAGAAGCTCAAAGAGTTGTTTGGCAAATATGGTAAGACACCAGCATTTCAGAGGCATAAGTTGCCAGGTAACAAAGTGTGATCCGGTTTGTAAAATGTGTCGATTACACTTTCTGTTTTGTAGGACCTGCTCTAAGTGTGCGTGTAATGACGGATGAGGGCGGCAAATCCAAGGGGTTTGGCTTCGTTAGTTTCGAGAGACATGAAGATGCACAGAAGGTTTAACAAAGTTTCATGTACTTTGTAAGGTGCATCTTTTTTCTTTAAATAAATGCTTTTCTTGATTTTTATTTTTTATTTTTTTTTTTGCATTAGGCAGTGGATGACATGAATGGCAAAGAACTGAATGGCAGACAAGTGTATGTGGGCCGGGCACAGAAGAAAGGGGAGCGTCAGAATGAACTCAAACGCAAGTTTGAGCAGATGAAACAGGATCGCATGACCAGATATCAGGTTTGTTGGGGGGGTTACTTTTCTCATGCACACAATGGAAGGTCCTCATGGGTTTTTATATGTTTGGTTTTATATTTTCTACTCATGATTTCATTAGTGTGATAACCTAAACCTCTAGCTCACTTTATTTTTCATGATACCAAATTCTTTATTCAGAATTTTCACACAAAGCTGAATATTTTATCTTATTTTTTGTTTTTGACTTTTATTTTTGTCATTTTCGTCACACCAGGGTGTCAATCTGTATGTGAAAAACTTGGATGACGGCCTGGATGATGAGCGTCTGCGCAAAGAGTTCTCTCCATTTGGAACCATCACAAGTGCAAAGGTAAAGGCACTTCACTGTTCTGGAATTAAAGGGAGTGGTTTCATAAACACGTTTTCAGTGGTCTCTAGAAGGAATGAATACCCAGGGCACAAAACCCCGGACTCAGCAAGGCCAAGTCTGACATCACAGCTGAGCTTTAGACTGCAGGTTTTATGGTCTTATATCCTGATGGCTGGACATCTCGCCTCAGTTTGGATAACAGCAACACGACCCTTGCAACGTGAATGATACACTATAGTGTAAAGCGCTTTGGAGTCCTTACTCTGAGAGGCGCTATACAAGTGCGGATCATTTATCATGTCTTTATCTCTACAAATAACACAAGCCTGGAGGAGTTCTGCCATAAGGTGAAGTAGCTAACGCTAATGGTTTGCTTCGTTTCCTGGACGCTAAACCAACAACAGCCTTCCCCGTCACTAGGCCGTAGGTCTGTCAGGCTTTTCTAACCCCGGTGCTGAAAGCATCAGCGGCGCGGGACGGCGCTGTTTCACATAGAATCCATAGTCTGTTTCAAACGAGCGGTGCAACAATTTCCAGGTGCGTCCCAGAAGCAGCAAGCCGCTACAGATAGGATCGGGTTTTATTTTTGCTGCGAGCCGCTTCTGGGGCACGTCAATTTCCGCAGTTAACATTGGGCCAGACAGGACATCGCACACTGTTTCAGTGTAAAATCTCCAGTAATTTTCGAAATAAAAGAACTGCAGCAAGGCTATTTCATATGTATCAAGCTTATGTGTGACCCATTGGTTAATTTACCCACAGCATCGTTCCAGAAGTGCAGTGATGTGTTTTTATGGCTTTAATCCTGGCAGTGGAGAGGAGCAACATCTTATGACATCAAACAGCAATACCAAACGTGATTTCCTTCTTGTTGGTTTAATGACGGATTGCACAAACAAGCCATGACCTGAAGTCTCGAGGGATCGTGTGATCTTGCGAGTCCAACGAAGAGCACAGCGAGGACGCCGTACCGCTGCCAAGACTCCCGGTGTGAAAAGGACTTTGAAGTTCGCGGGTAAATCGTTCTGCTGCCGTTTTGCACCGCCAACGCTTCCAGCGTGAAACCGGCGTGATCCTACGCAAGAGGGTGGGTAGGGTTTCGAAAAAAAACTTCTGAATGTAGCAGGGTGACCTCTTAAACCTGCTATCAGTTAGTAAGCCGATCATCAGCAGAGGCTGCTGCAGATATTAAGAGCCTGACTTCCTGTTTTCTCGTGCCGACGGTGCAGCTGCCTGCCATCCACTGGTAGTTGGCCGTAAATGAACCTGTTACCTGTGGGCGTGTCATCCCTGCCTGCTGTTAGAAAAAACTAATGAATGAAGTTCTCTGAGGGCTGATGACGATTCAATTTATCTTTAAAATGATCTCGTTAATTCAGAAAAACAGCATTTTATTTTTTGTGGCTGAATGCATTACGCTTCCTTACACCTTTACAGGTCTGAAACTAGTATCTTCTGTTTCAGGTGATGATGGAGGGTGGCCGCAGCAAAGGCTTTGGCTTTGTGTGCTTCTCTTCACCGGAGGAGGCTACGAAAGCAGTGACAGAAATGAATGGACGTATTGTGGCTACAAAGCCTCTGTATGTAGCCCTGGCTCAGAGAAAGGAGGAGCGTCAGGCCCACCTAACCAACCAGTACATGCAGAGGATGGCCACAGTTCGTGCCGTTCCCAACCCTGTCCTCAACCCCTACCAGCCCGCTCCTCCTTCAGGCTACTTCATGGCTGCTATACCACAGGTGAGCTCCACCCAGCAGAGAGTGCTGATGACACTCCTTCTCGTGGCAGTGACAGACGCGCTCTAGTGCTGATGTTTCACTGATGAATCTGGGCTTTTCTGTTCTCAGGCTCAGAACCGTCCTGCGTATTACTCTGCCAATCAGTTGGCTCAGCTCCGCCCCAGTCCCCGTTGGGCCACTCAGGGGGTGCGTCCTCAGCGTAAGTACCTTCCATGTCTCGCTGTGGTCCTGTTCAGAACAGGAAGGTTATTAATAACTTTTTAAAAATGTTTTTAGACTTCCAGAACATGCCAAATGCTATGCGTCCATCAGCACCCAGGCCCCAGACTTTCAACACCATCCGGGCTACCACAACCACCAACACCCAGGTCCCACGGATGATTGCTTCCCAGCGCATGCGTAAGTCCAGCGTACCTGAACATCTAGCCACTTTTTTTACCCAGTTTTACGTTCTTGTAGTTTTGATTAAGCATGTTTTCCTTGATTCTGCAGCGAATCAAGCGCTCAGCCAGCGCCCGGCTGGTGCTGCAGCCGCCGCCGCCCCGGTGCGTGCCATGCCTCAGTACAAGTACGCTCCTGGTGTGCGCAATCCTCAACAGCATATGGCATCCCAGCCACAGGTCACCATGCAGCAAGTAAGGATGCCTTTGACTTTTCCATGGAAGGCGCCACACTCTAATCTGTTTTCATTTATTACCATAATTGCTGGTGCTTCAAATAGGTTACAGTAATCACATTACTGTGGTAATGATTTCATTAGCTGACTGATATTTGTCCTAAATCCTTCTTCCCTTAGCCGGCAGTTCATGTCCAAGGCCAGGAGCCCCTGACTGCCTCCATGCTGGCTGCTGCACCTCCTCAGGAACAGAAGCAGATGCTGGGTTAGTAAATCCTCAGCTCACGTTCACCAACGACAGAAATGGACCAGCGTTTTCATTGGTCATTGTCAATCATGCTGACCAGTTGTGTGTATTTTCTCAAAGCGGTTAATTGGTTTCTGATTTCTGCCTTCTTCAGGTGAGCGTCTGTTCCCCCTGATCCAGAACATGCATCCCAGCCTGGCAGGAAAGATCACTGGTATGCTCCTGGAGATCGATAACTCAGAGTTGCTTCACATGCTTGAGTCACCCGAGTCCCTGCGCTCCAAGGTTAGTCCGCTCGGTTGTGTAGAAAAGGTGGTTACAGTGGGCTGATGAGTGTTTTGCAGAAGGTTAAATGTTTTGTATGCAGTGGTTTGAAGGAAGTGTGTTTTTTAGGTGGATGAGGCTGTTGCTGTGCTCCAGGCCCACCAGGCCAAAGAGGCTGCTCAGAAGTCTACCACCCCTGCTGGTGTTCCCAGCGTCTAAGGTCTGCATGCTGGAGAACTGGCTGTGTACAACAACATTATCATCACTGTGCTGTTAACATGCGTGTTCTGTATATGCTTATTTTCCAGATTGAGCATTTTGAAACCTGCTTCACCGATGGAAAAAGAAAAAAAAACAAACATCGAAAAACCCAAAACTCTGAAAACATCGTAAAATGATAAATTATTTCTTAAAAAAAGCCAAACGATTGACTCCGCCAGGTCTAGGGATGGTTTGACTAGACCTTGATCATAAATAAAAAAAATTTGTTTAAAAAAAAGCAAAATATAGAAAATTGAAAATGATAAATTTGAATGCATTCCTCTGTTTTATGTCATTTTATTGTGTCAGTGCTCAGAGCATCAGTCATGTTCAGGTAAACTATTGCTGAGCATGTTGAAGGGTGATCTTTGAACTACTGGCTGAAATAAATTCATTCCAAAATACATCAGTTTCTTTATTTGGTGCTAAAATGTTGATGGCACTAGGAACACTGATAAGTAATGTGAAGAACATCTTAAGCATTTTAAAGAAGACTTGGTGATTGCAACGCTACAGTCCTCCACCAGGTGTCCTCCGTTAAGATACTAGGTACACTAGTTTATACTAAGCAGGATTTTGGTTAGTGTCTATCCAGTTAGGCTCAGTCCTTAAAACTTACACCATGTAAAGGTGTTTGAAAAGAGCAGAAGGCCTTCTCCAAGTCAGGGATGAGGTCGGTGCTGCATTTGTAGTGATGCAGGGCGTTGTACTGGTCTGTCGTGGAGACCAGAGACCTAAAGGAGATCTCGGAACAAGTTGGAAGGACTACGTCTGCTGGCTAGTGAACACCTTAGGATTCCCCCAGGTGGCTGGGGAGAGGGAAGTCTGGGCCGCTGGATGAATAAGTGGATGAAAGGTGTTGCCGTCATAACGACTGCTACAGGTAAGCAGTATTTAAAAGCAGAACATTTTGATTTGAGTGCACATCCAAGTTGTAAAGAGCAAGATTGTTCCTCAACTGATGTCTTAAGAATCAGGCTGATGTAGACCTCTGCATCTAATCAATCTGGGAGATTGGACCATCAAAACATTAACAGCAGTTAAAAAACTGGGTCTCACCATTTCAGCTTAAACAGATCTAACCCGCCAACCAGAGGATTACAAAGTTATGATTCATGATCACGGGGTATTTGATTCCAGTCACTTGAATATTTCCTGTATTATTTTATGATTAAACAAACCCATCTGCCACTGCCTGTTGGGAACAGATTTTTTATAGCAGTAAGAGAGCAGTGTGTTTTTATGAATTTAAGTGTTTCTACTTAGACCAACATGTTAACATACTGCTGCACGTCAGGGCTTCTCATGACACAATCACTGGCTTTGCATCAATCCTCACTTAAGGGGACAGTAATATACCCTATAGGTCAGGCTGCAGGGTTCAGGTTCAAAGAGCTGGGTGTCATCTGCAAAACAATGGAACTGGATGTCAAATTTGCAGAAGATATTACAGAGAGGGAGATGGTATATTATGAAGAAGAGGGGACCCAGGACAGTGCCCTGGGGTACACTAGAGATTACTGCGGAGAAATGTGGTGAAAAAGATTTTACCGGATTACTGAGTGTGGCCAGTAAGATATAAGATTGAAACCAAATAGTCTCCTACACCTACCTCCTGCAGTCGCTTCTGATAGAAAACAGACGGTGAAACTCTAGGATTATTAGAAAAGCCTGACAGATCTACGTCACACTGTCACTTATCATTCATGGACTCGCCCATCTGGACTCAGGAGAAGACTGTTGTTGGTTTAACATCCAGGGGCCTCATTCATCAAACGTTCGTAGAAATATTCCTAAATTCGTTCCTATGAATGGAATTTAGAACGTTCGTATGAACAGTTGCAATTCTGATTTATGAAACATGCGGTGGCCTCCCGTACGCACGTTCCTCTGCACCTGTATGATGATAAATCCCACCTGTGCTACTCAGTTACTCGTGTCCGTTCTCAGTTATTTACATACAGAAACACCCTCAATTAACCATATTTGGTCACGCCACATCCTCAGCTCGTGAGGGGATTCCTGCGTTCTAAATGATATTTTCTTCTTCTACCGGTTCTACCCAGAATAGAGACCGAGACATTGGCTGAAAATCACCAAACAAGTAGCAGAGCTTATAGCTGTTGGGACAAAGGAGAGGCTCCTGTCAGAAACAAATACTTTCATGTGTTAAATCGTAGCGTAACTGGTTGTTTTCTACATTTTACACTAAAGGAGTCGTTCTGGGTGTTTGTTTTATTTGGAAATGTCTTCTTCTGAGCTGTCATTCAGTCTGGTTACCTTGGCAACGCGTGTGGGGGAGCAGAGGAGGTTCTTGTAGTTGTAAAATAGAAAATGAACTGGAATCGGATTTGTGAGGTTAGTCTGTCTCCACAAAGCTCCCAAATCCCAGCGTAGCTCCAGAAGGATCTCCTGTCGGGGGGCGCTCATGGAAACGCGTTTACTCCAGACAGCAGCTCTGTTAAATCCTTTATAATAATATAGAAACGCACCTCAAGCAAAATCACGAGGTGTTTCACAAAGACGAAAATATATTATCTGATTTCATTTAAAATAATTAAAAAGATTAAAAACATAATAAAAATGGGAATAGAAAAAAATGTGATTACAAAAACACGACAACCATTCCACAAAGTCAGATTCCTGTTATTTAGCACCAGTTATGTGACTCAGCTGTTTTTCCACCTAAATAATTATTTAATGGGTAAAATAATGAGTGGATGAGGAACATGTGTGGATGGCTGAGACCTTCGGTGTTGCGGTTCCCTGCGTTCTAGATGCTGTTCCTACGCAAGTTTTCTGATGTTTAGAAACATTTCCACCACAGGTACAAAATGATGAACGCCACACAATGTGTTGTTCGTACACATGCACACATCTGTTCGTAAGTACGGTTGATACATGAGGCCCTTGGAAACAGCAGAGAATGTCTGGGCTAGTAGAAGCTAACCGTTAGCATTAGCAACTCCACCACACAGCAGAACTCCTCCAGGCTTGTGTTATTTGTGGAGATAAAACATCAGTGTTGCAAAGCAACAGTCGGCGGTAGAGTCGTGTTGATGTTAGCCAATCAGAGGAGAGATGTCCACATATCAGGAAGTAAGACTCCAGAATCAGATCCTAGTCTGAAGCTCAGCTGTGATGTGGGTTAGCTACAAGAAATGGCGTCCCCTCCCCCTCGATAATGACTTACGAAGCATTCATTCCTACTAGAGACCACTGCAAATGTATTGAAGATATAGTTATGTTGACCTTTAAATAGTGGTAATTTCCAGCTGTGCAATCACACCTGCTCTTTTTTTACTTCCTCTTGTGTCACTTTGAATGATGATGAACTCACTGGATCATCTCCAACAGGTGTGTGTCTCTGTATTACAATCTGGTGCAAAAGTTCCTTCATGCCAATAATCCAACCCAAAAGGTGAAACTAATCTATGAGACTAATTCGATGCAAAGCCAGATGTTTCAGTCTTTATTTCTTGTAGATCTATGATGGGTTCTGATAACTGCCTTATTGGTAGTTATTTTTAATAACTGGTCTGTTTAGAATTGTTATTGTTCTAGCTTTTTCTTTTATCTATTTATTTTTCCCCCATAAATACGTTTGATTGTGTGTACTGGATATATGTACATTATCATGATTACTACATATGCCCATATAGCTAAAGACCATTGGTGAGCCACAGCTTAGCAGGACTTCTTTTCTCTCTTTTGTTTGTATTGTGATTATTTCATAATTATGTAAACAACTCTGCAGTCTTGTTTATTTTTGGTTGTATAATCTGAGGACCCACTTGAAAATGAGATGCCACATCTCAAGCGTAAAATATAAGTTAAATAAATAAATTTGCTATAACTGTGATGATTATGGCTTACAAATCAATCAAATCAAAGATACTTTATTAATCCCAGAGGGAAATTAGAGTTTCAGTACACACAATTCAGAGATCAGACATACATGGGCAAGACACTTGACAAGAATTGGTGACTGTGGTCATTCGCAACCCTGAGTCACGCTACCTTAATAGAGATAAGAGGGGTTACATGAGGACTGGTTCAGGTGGAGGGAAATAAAGGCACTTCAGAGTTACCATCCACCAGGAGAGCAGCTTTGCTCTGCAAAAAAAAAAACACCTCAGACAGAGATGCAACAGACTTCAGACAACACAACTTAAGTGTCCACTAGGTGGGGTGGTGGGTTGGTACTATCCCCACTTCAGTTCCTGCAGCCACGATAAGCAGCGCATGTCACCTCAGTGTGGATAGGGGGAGGAGCATTGAGGGTTGGAGGGTTGCAGTGACCCTGGAACGTTTGGCCTTCCCGCAGTCTCGCCCAGGCTGGGAAAGGAAACAGACTTGAGTTGCCATAGCGACGGCACATTCCACATATCTTCTGAGGGGGGAGTTTTCGTTGGAGCCTTGCAGGCTCAAGGACGCCAGATTCCAATTAGAAATTGTTTTGGGGCCAGACAGAGATAATTTCCTCTCTGTCTTACAGTTCCTTGGTCCTCAACCTCTCAAAATTCCAATAATGGACATTAAAATATCCCAATCCGTGCTGATTCATCCACTCTCCTTGATGGCATCCATCTTTTGTGCCAATGAATGAATCTCGACCACAGTTCCAAGCTTACAATTCATCTTGACAATTATGTGAGTCTGTGAATTCACAGTGCGGTGCAAACCATCTCTGAGGTCCGGGATCAGGTCAATATTCCTCGACAGCTCGTTAATTTTCCGGTAAGCCAGGCAGCCTCCAAGGCCAATGAGCAGGAAACCTGACACCAACGCCACGAATATCCACACGTCTTCAGAGTCTTCTACAGAAAGCTGAGATAAACAAATCAAGTTCCACTGTTTCCAGGAGTCCATGATGTTTCCAACTGGGTCTGTCCCAGCGGGGCATCCGAGAGCCCCTTCTCCCATTCTTATCGTAGAAATTTTTTTATCAATCGCGTTGAGAGACCAACTGACGAGATCCATTTTATTGAATTTCAGTTTCCAGTTTCCAGAAAAATGCAGAAGCAGCCGTGCACCCAGCACACAGAGACAGACAAAGGGCCTTGAGGATAAGATATGGAGGAGAGGAGGAAAAAAAGTGTCTGCACCACTTCCAAGAGCCGGAAGAAGCTTTTGAAAACCTCACATTCAAAATCACAGACCATTAGATTACTGTGAAAAGGTTCAATATGCTAGACTCAAAGTGTCTAATAGGCTAATAAATTCATAACACCTGCAAAGTGTTCCTGGGCCTTTAGATGGTCTCTCAGTCTGAGCTGGATAACTGACTTTTGCACCAGAGGCAAGTTTTTCCAGTTTCCCATGTAAATCATGTATTACATACCAGTTTTCCATGTGTCCCTCTACAAAAATTAAAATACATTTTAAAAAGTATTTTGAGGGATAAGGTCCCTTGAACTTCACTTTTGTATAACAAATTGTTCATATTTAGTGTATCAAACATATTTCTATTTTAAATCCATATTCATGCAACATTTATGCCACTTTATGTTTTCTCATATATTGCCATGCTTAACATATCTATCTATCTATCTATCTATATATATATATATATATATATATATATATATATATAATCTATGCGCTGCGATGGACCGGCTCTCTGTCCAGGGTGTACCCCGCCCATTGACCGCTGGAGATAGGCACCAGCACCCCCGCACCCTACGTGGACAAAGCGGGTTCAGACAATGGATGGATAGGATATAATTTAATAAAATGATAGACCACCTACCTTTTATTAGTAAACACATCAATTTTTTACAATATTATTTTCTTGCTGCCACCATTGGCTGTCAGCCACAGGTAAGTGGACAGAAATTTGGTCCAAATCTCGCGATAGGGTTTGATATTCTGAGCTTGAACGAGAACAACGAACAACGGAGCGAGTCGACTCGCGAGAGCTTTTACCGTTTGCAAACGAAACGGGTCTGTGGGACCAGAAGCAGGAAAGACAAGTAGCGCTTCTAGTGTGGAAGGAATTGACGGGACAACAGCGAGTCCAGTAAGAAATCGATATAACACCGGTGGAAAGCAGACCAGCGGTCTTTGTTACTGCCTCCAGGACAAGTGTCACTAGCAACAGACGGTAGGCTCTCTTTTCGTGTCCAGCTAAGCTTGCTAGCCAGCTGCTAACGCTCCCTATGTTTGGTGTAGTTAAGCTTGTTGGCAGTTTTGTGGCCATTAAGCGGACCTGTGGAATAAGTGGTACTATACTCTGCATAATTCTCACTGTGTGCCCCGTGCCTGTCCAGAGGGAGACGTACATCGATAAAGGTCAGTTGGTAGTGGACCGTGAACCAGCTAACCGAAATAAGTTAGGGACAAACTTGAAGTACAGACCGAACAAGCAACAGTTGCCTGCGTGATTTTTAAGCTCCAACTAGCTGCTCACTTGACCATTAGCGTCAGTGTGTTCTTGGTTAATAGTGCCGAGGAACGTTCCGTCTATTGCTTTAAAAATATTAACCCAGGCGTGTTAAATAAGCCACGGAACACTTGTGCATGGTTAAATGGTTTAAACGCCTCCTCCTGGGTATTTAGAAGTTTGTTTGGTAATTTCCTGCTTATTTAGTCGCATCTTTTGAACCGCGGTGGTTAGCTTGAAGTTGGACGTTGGATATTCGACAGACATTGGTTTACACGGCGATAGTACGGCACAGACAGCGGGAACCTGAGTTCCGAGGATTCGCTAATGGGAACGGTGGTTCGTTTAGGGACTATCAACAAATTTGTAGTCCTTTTAAACGAGTAGTACAAAAAATAAATAAACTTCCAGAATAATTTTCTAAATGACTCAAAATTACTTCTGACTTGTGTTACAAAACTACATTTACAAGACACAACAATTTTAACACATTTCACACAATCTGATCTTTTTTTATTAGGATTTCATTCCAAAATTAAGGGATTTTTTTTCAATAGCTCCTTGGTAAATCAGTCTAAATACACAAAACCATTTCTCAATGTTGTTACTAAGCCAGCCCAATGAAACAGCAGTTTTTAACACCTTTCATACAATCTGATCTTTTGAAGATTTTCATGAAAAATTCTGTGATTTCTTTTAATACCTCTTAGGTTAATTGATTTTACTGCTCAAAGCCATTTCTCAATTGTGTTACCAAGCTAGACCATGAGACACAGCAGTATTTAACGACTTTCATACAGTCTCATCTTTTTTTTTTTTAGGAATTTTATCCAAAATTACGGGATTTTATTCAATAGCTCCTAGGTAAATCAGTCTAAATACACAAAAACATTTCTCTATTGTGTTACTAAGCCAGACCAATGAGACACAGCAATTTTTAACACCATAATACGATCTGATCTTTTTTATTAGGATTTTTTATCAAAAATTAAGGGATTTTTTTCAATAGCTCCTAGGTAAATTAGTCAAAATACCCACAACCATTTCTCAGTGTTGTTACTAAGCTAGACCAATGTGACACAGCAGTTTTTAACACCTTTAATACGATCTGATCTTTTTATTAGGATTTTTATCAAAAATTAAGGGATTTTTTTCAATAGCTGTGAATTAGTCAAAATACCCCAAACTATTTCTCAATGTTGTTACTAAGCTAGATCAATGACACACAGCAGTTTTTAACACCTTTCATGTGATCTGATCTTTTTTATTAGGATTTTTTATCAAGAATTAAGGCATTTTTTTCAATAGCTCCTAGGTAAATTAGTCAAAATACCCAGAACCATTTCTCAATGATGTTACTAAGCCAGACCACTGAGACACAGCAGTTATCACGTTTCACAAGATCTGATCATTTTTATTTGGATTTTTATTAATAATAAAGTGATTTCTTTCAATAGCTCCTAGGTTATTTGATGTTACTACTCAAAATCATTTCTCAGTTATGTTACTAAGCTACACCAATGAGACACAGCCGTTCTTATCACATTTCACAAGATCCAACATTTTTTATTAAGATTTTTATAAAAAAATAAGTGATTTCTTTCAACAGGTCCTATGTTAATTGCTCTAAACACCCTAAACCATTTCTCAGTGATGTTACTAAATCAGACAGATTCACATTTCATACAATCCGATCTTTTTTCTTACAATTTTTATCAAAAATTAAGATTTTTTTCAATAGGTCCTATGTTAATTGCTCTAAATACTACGCCAGACCAATGAGACATAGCAGTTTTCATAACATTTCACAAGATCCAACCTTTTTTTTTTTTTTTTTTTTTTAGGAATTTTGTCAAAGGATGAAAAGCTAAGGCTGATCCTCCTTCACCTTATGTAATATGAAAGCTGTAAATGTCTTCGTCGGCATCTTGGGTGAGGTTATGCACTCTGGGCAGGGACATCTTAAACATCCATCTTCAGGCAAATTGTTGTCTCTCTCTCCCAACAGTTGAGTCAAAAGATAAGTTGGGCCCTCGCTTCTGGAGGACATAAAGGAAATACACGATCGCCATTTTAGCTAGAGAGAAATACAAACAAATACCATGGACCTCACCCTTGAACACTAAAAAGACCACCAGAGGCCGGATGATGCTCAGTAACTGCAAGGACCCCAAACTCACCTTGCCCAATGTGCTGACCAGAGCCTTGGTGCCTGTGGCGTTTGTCTTTGTGAAATAACAAAACATAAACCCCATCATGGCACATGACTAGATTAGAGATAAATTGGCCTTGTCACTTACTGATGAAAATGTTCACCTGAAACATGAGGCCAATTGAAATTAAATGGACTGCGTACCAATGCGATTGACTACAACTTGATATCAAGCCAGGTGGTGACGAGGGACGTTCCGATTGAGAAAGGTTACCATTGACGAGATCCCCACTCCAAGACGGGAGGAAGAAGAGCATACCACCTAAGAATTTGTGGGAGGAGAGGTTTGATTGAGGTAAAAGATTAATTGCAATGGCCTGAAGCTGTGTTGCTGAGCATTGAGAAATGGTTTTGAGTATTTACAGCAATTAGCTTAAGAGCTTGCTTGGTAGTAATATTCCCGCATTAGCCCCTCGCCTCTGACGGCTAAACGTGTGTCAGCCCCGCTAATCCTTTTGGAGTGACTGTGGGAGGACCCCCCGCAAAAGAGTGTGGTTGCTTTAGTGACGTATACTGCGCACCGGGTGTCGGCCGGAAGGAAAGCCGGCTGGACGGACGCGGAGACTGTGGAGCTTTTGGCCGTGCAAGCGGACGAACAGATTAGTCACCTTTTTACGGGGATGGTGAGAGACAGCCAGCTGTTCAACAGAGTTGTGAAAATACTGGCTGAGCGGGGCGTCAAGCGGGACAAAAAGCAGGTCACATCAAAGCTAAAGGTCCTGAAAAAGAAATTTCATCAGTCTGACGCGTCTGACGCTGAATGCTCAACCCTGTACGTCACGTACGGGGGAGCCGCCCAGTGACCTCCCTATATCCCGTCTTGGTTGGAGAGGTGTCTGATGGCAGTATATTCTAGCTTCAGCTTTGCTACTATAAATGCCAAAATCCTCCCCAGGGTGCTGCGGCAAATCCTGTTTTTAAAATGCTATGGTCCTATAAAAACAGCTTCTGTAAGTTTCAAAAGGGGAAACCTATGTACAAAATACTATGCAATTTGTACAAGTTAAGAGAAGAGGCTGGTGTGCTTTCCCAAATACTGCACCAGTCCAAGCAAGGCAATTTCTTCAAATTATTTCATTTTAGTAGTTGTTAGCAGAGCACTGTCATTGTAATGACCAATGAGACACTGATATTTAGTCTACCAGGAAATCAATGACAAAAGTTCTGCCTTGCTGGAATTGCAAGCTCTGATTAAATGCGTAAATTCTTTTTAACACATAATTTTCTTCAAATTAATTAATCATAATTAACGCATTAAAGTCCCACCCCTAAAAACACCTTAACGGGCAGCTCTAGTGTGTTGTCCTTTTTTCTCAATGCATTTCTAAAGTATCGGATTAGGACTCAGTACAGTATTGGTAGTTCCTTAATTTTATACGACTCTGAATCAGACCGGGAGCAATAAAATGATCGGAACTAGGGTTTTGCGATTTGTATAATTTTTCCCACCGCCAATCGTCAGTCCAGAAAAACACGATGGACAATTTATTCGTGCATGTGACGTCATGATGCACGGACTGATTTGCGAACACAGAAAAAGCCAAAAACAGATTATTTTTTATACAAGCACAGCACATATGTTTGCTGGAAGAGAAATTTATATTTTTCATTTTGTTTTATTTTGTATTTGTAGTTTGGTAGAGTGACGTATAAATGACCTGTATTAAACACTGTTAAAATGTTAAAAATAAGTCTCGTCTTCGTTTCCCTGTGGTGCCCACTTTTGTGGTATTTTATTTAAGAAAAATGTTTCTTTCTGAACAAAAACTTCTGGGTTTTTTCTTTTATAAGTGGGGGATGGAATGAATCGCTGCTGCGTTTGGACACACCCTGAGGAGGCAGCTCGCTGCCAGAGGTCACATGATCCATTTATCCCTGTCACTTTCATTTTTAAAATATTGAATAATCAGTTGTTCGTTTTAATTAATAAGTCCAACCAAGCTGATCAGAATGCCCCAGTAACATGAACAATGCAATCGATTTAGCTTAAAGAGCAAGTCACCTAGGGCTGCAACAACGAATCGATAAATTCGATGAAAATCGATTACTAAAAGCGCTGGCAACGAATTGCGTCATCGATTCGTTGTGTCGCACAACTCTTCCAAAATCCCCCCCACCACCCCCCACCCCCCCGCCCTTCCCACCCGCCGTTGCGCGCAGACCAGAGCAAATCAGATCAGCGCGAGGGAGAGCCGCAGATCAGAGCGAGGGAGAGCCGGCAGATCAGCGCGAGGGAGAGCCGCAGATCAGCGCGAGGGAGAGCCGCAGATCAGAGCGAGGGAGAGCCGGCAGATCAGCGCGAGGGAGAGCCGCAGATCAGCGCGAGAGAGAGCCTGCAGACTTGCGCTGCTGCGAACTGGTTCCGCATTGTTGCGCAGCGATCCAGGCAGCTGCTTCCACCAGCGCACGGTCCATTCTCAAAGTGGCAAAACCAAAAAACTATAATTAGCACACGATCGTTCTTGTCTGCACATGTTCTCTATTTTCTGTCTTATTTGTGCCTGAAGCG